TCTCCTAGATAAGGAAGGTTTGATATTTGGGGAACCATCTCAGCAGCAACAGAGTGGAGAGGAGAATTGTAGTGAGGATCTTTGAGGCCCTTGCCGTTTCACAATGTTGGGCTATGACACAATATTGGGCTTTAGCTTGGGGCCTTGCACCAGAGGATCTCAGAGCTTACATTATTACAGTATTCTTACCAGCGCTATTTTTTAGAACTGACACAGAGGGCTCAGGGGGATAGTTCAGCCGGAGACAGAAAAGCGATGGGAACAAGCCTGCGCCTCACTCCCTTCTGTAAATCACTCTGCCTCATATAGATCAAGCCTTCTCCCCGACTGTGTGAACCCTTTACTTTCCTTCATATCCCCCAAACTTCACACTCATACATTAATTCATCTGCCCTCTGCTCTTCTAAGAAAATGTGCCCTGTAGCTGAGACAACTGGTTTTTGGCCTCTAGCACTGAGCCCGGAAGGAAGCCGGCTGTCAGCGATAAGGGTCCACCCTGGGACCCTTCCTCCTAGACACTCGCCACCCTCTCTTCAGTCTTCCTTGCTCCCAGTAACCTTGGCCAGCCAATCAGTGGCCGTGTCAGCTTTCTACACTGGCCTTTCTCAACATGTATAATCAGTTCCTGTCTAGACAAGCCATCTGGGCTGAACCCTCAGAAAGGGGTGAACTTTGTTCTTTGTTCATCTACCATTGCTCAGGCATCCAGCTAACAGTGAGCTTCAGCCCCTGAATGTCACAGAAGTGGGCCCCAGAAAGCCACATGAGACCCTAAGCCACACTTCAGGAGCAACAGACTTGAAACCTCCAAAGCCCACCATGGCTATCCTTCCCAACTGTATTCTGGGGATCAGTCCCTAACATGAGTCAGCCCCAACCAGGGATGGCTCAGAAACCATCACCTCCCACTGGGTCCCAGCATCTAGATATACTTAAGAGCAAAGTTAATTCTAAGTTGTCTGCATGTGTTTAGCATCCACACACACACACACACACACACACACACACACACATACACACACACACGTGCACACGTGCACACATATACAAACACACTAAAACTAGAAGGCAGAAGGGACAGAAACCCATAGTCCAATTGGATTTGAGGGAATCAACCAAAGAGACATGAAAATCAGGGCCCAACTTTCCAGAAGAGTACGGATGCTGTCAACCATCTGACATGAGCTGTCCCGTGGGGCAGCCTGCTGGGAGCTGGATTCTAGTTGTCTTTCTGCTTTGTAGGTGCCTTCTGTGTCCTTAGCCACTAAGTGCGGAAGTCACACACAATAACTCCCTCTAGGAGGGAGGGGCCACCGCCTGGGACAGAATCAATATTGGATTATTAGGGCAGCCAATGGCTTCATAAAAGTTTCATCTCCTTGTGATTCCAAGAGCTAGCAGGTGGTTTTCTTATGAATACTATCTCCTGGGCTTGTGGATGGCCACCCTTCTACTGTACCCACTCAGTCTTCCTCCGTGTACATGCTCACCTCTGTTCTGATCGCTACTTCATAAGGACACTGGGCACATTGCACTAGAACCTCTCACTGAGCCTCATTTCACTTTAATCAGTTTGTTGCTGTTGTTTTGTTGGGGTTTGTTTTGTTTGTTTTGGTTTGGGGTTTTTTGTTTTGTTTTTTTTTTCTTTTTTTTGGTTTTTGTTGTTGGGTCTTTCTTTCTATCTTGCTCTCTTTCTTGCTCTCTTTCTTTCTTTCTTTCTTTCTTTTGGTTTCTCTGTGTTACAGTCATTCCTGTCCTGGAACTCACTTTGTAGACCAGGCTGGCTCCAAACTCAGAGATCCACCTGTGTCTGCCTCCCAAGTGCTGGGATTAAAGGTGTGCACCACCACTGCCTCGCCTTAATCAGTTTTTTTTTTTTTAAGTCCCATCTCCATAAGTGTAGCTCTCACCGCTCATCCAGAGAAGCTTCAAAGGGAGACCGTTACAGAAAACCACCACACCTCATAATGCAAATAGCAAAGGATCATGGGAAGTCCAGCTACAACAGATACATCCATAACACAACTCTTGGCCCTATGGCTCGGGGAACATCTTGAAAGGGGGGGATTGAAAGATTGCAAAAGCTAGAGGACAAGGAAGTCTGCTGTGACATTGTGCTGTCCTAAGAATGACAGTGAAGCTACACCCCATGAAGTCTCATCAACATGGCTACCTAAACAAGATCTGAACAATGTCAATATCAATAAAGATGCTAACGTGGAAGGGAAATCTCATGAGGTCCCACTTTAGACAAAGAATTACAGACATCTAATAACTGCTGAGAGAGGGAGAATTAACCACTTCCAGGGATGAACCCCCTGGTTAGTTGTCCTATACAAAGTTGTCAGCCCTGAAATCATATACACACAAGCCACAGGAAACACACTCAGCAGATTGTATTTTTATATTTATCCATATACACATAGCAATAACAATCACAAAAAGAATATCAATTTGAGAGGGACTGGGGGCATTGAAGGAAATGGATGGAAGGGACATAGGAAGGGTAGAGACAGGACAGGGAAGAGGGAAATGTTGTAATTACATTTTAATTTTTGCAAATTTAGTTTTTAAAAACCCCATGTCTAAACATATTCACATTTTGGGGTGTGACACATGAATGGGAAAAGGCTTAGTTCAGTATGAGCAGGCCCCATTCCCTCTCAGAGAACATCAGTGTGCTCAAGGTGCCTGTAAGTCTGTAGTAATTGGCAGGCCTCACACTGAAGAATAGATGAAAGACTTCTAGCTGGGTGTGGTGTCTCAGACCAACAGTCTGAGCACTCAGAAGCCGAGGCAGAAGGATGTGAAGTTGGACGCCAGGCTGGGCTGCATGGTAAGTTCCAGGCCAGCATGGGCTTCGTAGAGAGACCCTGTGTCAAAACAAAAGCAAATAAAGGGCGGAGGGGAGGTCAGAAAGGGAATTCACGTAAGATGCCTACAGATGGAGGGAGGGGGCTGTGAGGGGACCCAGTGGGCAAAGCGCTTGCGACATACAGGTGAGGACCTCAGAACAACTCTGCCCCAGGCAGGCATAGCGGGCCTCCTGTAATCCTAGCCCTACTGAAGCAGAGATGGGGAACCCTGGAGCAAGCTGCTAGCGAGAGTAGCCAAATCCGCAAGTGTCCCACGCACTGAAAATCCTTAGTGTAAACAGCTGCAATCAGAAACACATTCTGTCAGGCCAGAAGACCATCAGGAGGAGACATCTGCATCTACATCTCAATGCTCTGATGGACTAATCAGAAGTTTGGACTGGATAATTTAGTCAAGCCTGTCCTGTGGTCCCACAATCCTGTGTCAATGTCAGCTTTGATACCCGAACTAGATGAAATGTGAGGATGGTGGTTAATGACGGGTAATTATGAAATTTGTTGTGCTTATCCAAAATGTCTGAAATGTCTGAGTCACTAGTATGAACCAAGAGATCACACACACACACACACACACACACACACACACACACACACGTAGGGAGACACAGTAACCATGCCTCCTAAGTGCTGGCTACAGGTGTGCCCAACCACGCTCATCAGAGTGTGGTCAAGGTGATGTCAGGATAGGGAACTCACATGGTAGCTCTCTTTTCCCTGCTATTTTGGCTTGTTCTGCTTGCCTGCCAGTTGGCTACCTAATAAATATATATCCTGACCATCACGGGCTACATATTAGTTATCAATCATATTAGCTGGTGTCAGAAGTGCCGTAGCTGAGATCTGGATCCACAAACCCCTGCTAGGTGGCCTGCTCATGTGACAACCACAGCTGGTCCCAAGAGCCCTGACAAAGGCAATTCCAAAAACAACATTAACTACTGAGTCAGAGCCACCAGAGGGACAGTGCCCAATGGTGAGCTGGGAGGCAGGCTTCGGGACCGGAGCTGTTCAAAGTGGAACCCCACCCCCACCCTCAGGGCTAACTTTTCCCAGCCCCAACACTGTGCCCAGGAAACTGGAAAGATTTGGTCTGGGTAATGTACAGGGCATGTCCTGGCAGTGGGAGCATCTGGAACAGCCTGGGTAGGGTGATCCTTCTGATGCATCTGACAGACTGCATTCTGGAGGGCAAGCAGTCTCCTCCAGGCAAGCCCACATGGTATCACCGTTAGCATTGCCTCAGGCTGGTGCAACTGGAAGACTGCTAGGAGGTCCTGGAGGGCAGAAGCCTTTTGCACTGACTCAAACTTTGGTGACATCACACTCTCTTGTGGAGCTTTAGAATTAGAGATAGCAAGACCCTCCCTCAGCCTACACGCCTCTGTATTTGTGAACAGGTGTGGATAATTAGCACATATCAGAGCTGGGTGAGTATGATTCCATAAACTTGAGCTGTTGCAGGAAAGGAGGCTAGAGGCCTAGCTGCACAGGCAGCAGGAATGAGACACAGGACGACAGGTGAGACACAGGACGACAGGAAGGTGGCAGGACCTGAAAGGGGATTGGAGAGGAGACAGGAATGGGGGCCTGTCATCTAGTGGGAGTCCAGAGACTCGAGCTAAGATGCTTGTGACCATGGATAAGGCCCTCTCCATCTGGTAGCTGATGGGAAGTGGGGCCCTGTCTGGTTGGGATTGAAAGTCTGCGAAGCCTCACGAGTCCTGGAGCTTCAGAAAGCAGGGACCAACCCACCCCATGCACCAGGAACACACTGTCAACTTGCAGGGACCCTGTCCCTCTACCTTCTCTGCACTCGTCTGAGTTTCTCAGAACCATGATGGCTCTGGGACCATATTCCTAATTAGTCCCATGAGGCTCACACTTAGAAAGACCTTACTGAAAAAAAGGAAGAAAAGAAAAGAAAAAGAAAGGCCTCACTGTACTCAGTATCCTCTCGTGCTACCATCTTGAAATAATTAATGATATTTAATATATTAAATATATTTTTACTAAAAATTTACTAAATAATCTGACCACACACACATATATATGTGATATCATATATATATATATATATATATATATATATATATATATGATAAACTAAAAATAAAACAATACATATAGGAAAAATCATGAATGTAGTTCCCCACTACCATAAATAATGCATTCAAGCTTCCCAAATTTGGGGAAATGTCAGGGGTCGGCACACTCAGAGTACAAGAGAAGATGGGAAAACCACCTTTGTGGTTGTGGTGTGTCCCCTTCCCTCTGCCAGGTAAGTCTGACCATTTTAAAATGAACAGTTGAGTGGCACTTAGCAAATGTGTCATCCAACTCCATTATCTAGCTCTTTCTGGCGTTTTGTTTTGTTAGCTTTTTAATTACAGCACTAGGTCATTGTGGCATTTTCAATCACAATTTGTTTTTGTTGGTCTCTTTTTCCATTTGCCTTAAAAGGTTTTTTGTTTTAAATTACATCTATGTGTGTATGTTTCTGTGTGCAGGTCCCTACACATAAATGCAGGTGCCCTTGGAGGTCAGAGGCATCAGATGTCCCTGAAACGGGAGTTACAGGTAGCGGTGAGCCACCCAACATGGGTTCTGGGACCCAAACTCACTCAAGTCTTCTACAAGAGCAATAAATGCTCTTAGCCACTGAACCATCTCTCTAGCCCTCATTTATTTTTTTTATTAGTTCAAATTAGGAACAAGCTTGTTTCACATGTCAATCCCTTCTCCCTCTCCCTCCCCTCCCCCACACCCCTCCTACCCACCCTGACCTACCCCCCACTCCATCCCCCCTCCACTCCCCAGGCAGGGTGGGGCCCTCCACAGGGGCTCCCCAAAGTCTGCCACATCATCCTGTCTAGCTCTCATTTTTGTTGCTTTCCGAAACATTTTATTATCCTAAAAGAAAACTTCATGCTTTTAAATATCATAACCATCAAAATACCATTCTCCATTTCCCTACCCTACACTCCCTGGCAATCTCTCACCCGCCTTCTATCTCTATGGATTTCTATATTCTGGATATTTCTCATGAGTGGGTCATAGAATATGTAACCTTTTGTAATTGTCTTCTTTCACATAGAGTAATGCAGGGTGATGTTTTCTACATTTCTTTATTGTATGTTTGTAGGGAAGGGCTGTTTGTGCCACCACAATGCACATGGAGAGGTTAAACAGCCACTTTTTCAGGGGTCAGTTCTCTCCCTCAACCATGGGATTTAAGGTTTGAACTCAGGTTGCCAAGCTAGGACATAAATGCCTTTATCTGCTGAGCCATCTCCACAGCCCAAGAGAATGTTTCTGAGATTTACCCACAATGTAGTATACATTGGTACTTTGCTATTTCATACAGCCAAATATTATTCCATTGTAGTTAATCTTTTAATGTGCTCCAACTTTTTAAGTTTGCACTGGGCTCTGAAATGATGGCTCTGGTCAGAGCTGATTCCTAAATGAGGGTGTGGATGCTACTTACACTCAGACTATTGCCTCCTTGACTTTCCTCCTGCCACCGACCTCCAACGGTTGCCATAATTACTTTTCTCAAGTGAGACGTACCTGCACAATCTCTGAGTTTAGAAACCTTGGTCTGAAAGCCATCAGCCTCCATCCCATCTTAGCTACAGAGCAGAGTTCCCCCACAGGGATCAGGACATGTTGAACCCCTCAACCTGGAAAGCCTTCCTCACTACCTCATCTCCTCTCACAGAACAATCCCCACATTTTAATTGTGGTCCTGATCCTCTAAAATCCAAATGATGAAAGAATCATGAGCTGGTGGGGACAGGGTAACAGAGAGGCAACCTAATTTGAGGCTGACCTTCATGAAGACAGGCCGAGAAATATATGGGTCAATTCTAGTTTCCACACTGATACTTTGGGGGACCATAGACCTTAGTTACAAGAGAATGTATGTGCCCAATGAGATATAAATAAGCACACTAACGTATTCCTGCTGAGGTCCGGCTTAATGGCCAAAAATCTAATTATTAGAACTTGGAAAGGGTCTGAAATAAATATAGCCAGCATGGTGCTTGTTATCACATACAGAATGGAGCCACAAAGTTGAAAATAATGCAGAACCACTGAGCAGATGCTTTCAGCATGCAGTGGGCAGTGGTCCATATTGCTCAATAAGGTTCTTTTCCTTGCTGTGTCATCCAGCATTTAACAGTAACTTTGCACCCTTGATGAAAGCTTCTTCTAAGAGTCATGAGATGATGGACAGCCTAGGGTCCCGTGCTCAGCCATTTGACTTCCCCTTTGATAGCTGTTGCCACAGAGGTGGAGGGTAGGGTGTGCTATGATACTAGAACCAAACTGTTACCAGGGCACCACAAGCCAAGTCTTTACACTTGGACCCAAACATGCAGGCTGGGTCCCCTTACTATCCAAGTCAACGAACGCCTCTGCCCTCCCCTCCTTGCTCACCTGGTCACAGTCCCCCCAATCGAAGATATTGCTTCAGTAGGGTACCCTCCCCTATCTTAATTTCCACACCTCCATTTTCCTTTGCAATGTCCCGCAAGTGTACTCATCTCCTCAACTTGTCCCTCAAGCCAGCAGCTCCTCTAGCCCCTCCCACCTACCACCAGATGCCTTTATCTCCTTCACCCTTCCTTACTTCCTGACACCCTGGTTCCCCAACCAAGTCATAGCCCACAGCTCCTCATCCACAGAACCACCATCTTTCCAACACTCCCTACCTAGACCTTCCAGCAGCCTGCACCATCTCCAAGAAGAGACCAAGCTCCAAGCTGGGCATTCAAGTACCATCGTGTTCTCCCCCCTTCCCACCCCACTTCGTCTCTCCCCACCACACACTCTAATGAACTTCCCTTTCATTACTTGCCTTTCTCCCCCTTGCTAAAATTCCTTCCCTGCAGGCCTAGGGATCTAGGTAGAGCCAGAGAGAGTAAGGAATTCAAGGCAATGAGAAAGTCCATCTCAAGGTCTAGCTCCCTTTATAGGGATGATGCTCCCAGATATCATGAACCAGATAGGCATTTGAGCAACAATGACATTGGGCAACTAAGAACACTCCATGGATGACAGAACCAAGAGCAGATACCTGGTCGTTGAAATATAAAGCATAATTCCTTATGTTTGGGGGCACGGTCATGTTATCATTTTCTCCTCCTCAGTCTTCCTGTAAGTGCTGCTGCATGTCTGGCCTTCTGGTGAGAAAGCAGAGAATGAAGAATCTGGTCTTGAGACCCCTGATGGACTGGGCCCTGCTTGTCACTTCTGGATGTTAGAGGAGATGGCATTGAGGAAGGGACACCTGCTTATGAAGCTAAGCCACATCTGAATGTGCTCTCTATCTGTGTGTGTGTGTCTGTCTGTCTCTCTCTCTCTCTTGCACACACACACACAAACACACACACACACACACACACACACACACACACACAGGCATGTACATTCTAAAGCACATATGTGTTCTTTTGTTACATTTAATAATTTACATCTATGTGTGTGTACAGCATGATGAAGACAACTTGCAGGAGTTGGTTCTCCTCCTTGATCTGTTAAGGTGTGGACAAGCATTACCACAAGCTACTGCTTCAACCACCATGCTGTCCCCACCATGTGGATCTTCCTTGTACTTTCTCGGGCTCAATGAGAAGTTTGCTCTGGGCTGGTAGAAATTTCATATCTATGCCTCAGTTTCCTCTCCTGTAAAATGGGCCCCCATAGTACCGTCCTGGGACTGTTGAGAGGATTTAGTGAGTTAATGTGGATGCAGTATGTTAGACAGCATCAGGAACATAGTTCTCAATAAATATTGATAATTACTATGAATTATTATCCCAAATGTACTGAGTGAGAGAAGCTTAAATAAGCCAGAGAAACAGAACCAGCAGGGGATGTCTTTTAGGCAGTTGTGATGGCACAAAACTATGAGCCCAGCCTTGAGTAACTGAAGGTCCACATGGTGAGGACAGCACGGTGGTAGAAGCTGGATCTGGTGGCACCAATTGTTTACTTTTTAATAGAAGCAGAGAGAATGGGACCAGAAGCAGGGCTGGACTACAAGCTTCAAAGGGCTAGTGCAGTGCCTAAGTCACAGGTCCCAAAGGCTTCACAACTTCCCAAAACAGTGCCACTGGCTGGAAACCAAATGTTCACATATACACACTTGGGAGACATTCAATAACTCAAACCATAACAAGAACCAACAAAGCCCAAAGGGATTCCAATAAATTACCCCACCACCATTCTGCTATGCCACAGTGAGCATTTTGATAGAGTAAATCTTTCCATTTCCTCATTTACACTTTCTTTCCTATTTTATCTTATTTGTGTTGTGGTTGAAGAGTTACCGATTTAAGCCCTGTGGCAGAGACGGGGAGGGAGGATATGAATGCTGGAGACGTCTAGGGAGGCAGACACATATTCCAGGATGCCAAAGCAGTCTGTGGGGCTTCCTCGGCAGCATCAGTCAGCAAACAGCTCCTCATCTAGAGCATCAATCTGGAGATGGGGCTGTGCTTATGATGCTTCCAAAAAGAAGGTCCTGAGGAAGGGGTGAGGTGTGTATTCCCCATTCTCTTTTAAAGATACATTTTTATAGCTGTGTAAACTAAGCCCTAAAAGCCTAGCAATGTGCCCACATGCCCTGAAATGCAAGCCAGGACAGGAGTAATGTAAGAGGAGGCTGTCCTTCAGCAGGCTGTGTTGGGTACACTAAGCTCTCTGGACAGAGGGCATGCCTGCTAGAGACCCTCAGGACCATGCTCCAGGTCAACAGGAGGTAAGCAGGTGCTGTGAGAAGGAAAGGATTTGTTTGCTGAAGAGGGTGCCTCACACAGGCATTTGGTATTGCAGCCTCAGTCTCTGGAAACTGTAAGACGAAAGCAGCATACGACTACGGTCAACAATGCAAAAGCCCAACAGGCAAGGTCTACGGCTTGGGGAACTCACACGTTGTGTGGAAACTTTGGATCACACCCCTGAAGCCTCTCTATGGAGTCCTCATGCCACTCTCAAGCCAGCAGCACCTAGGAAAATGGGAGTCTCCCACCATCCATTGCAGCAACCCCATGTTTTCCCTTCCACTTCTTTGACCCCTCCCCAGCAGCCTGGATTTACCCTTAACATGAGGTAGCCACTGTCCCATTGCTCGGTTAGCAGGAAGGTCTACATTGTGAAACCAAGATCTCTCCAGAGACAGGGAATGTGTTCAGGAGGTTTCTCCCGAATGAAATTCTGTCCTATCCACAGGGTCCCCTGTCCTTCCACACCCTCCCACAGCCCTCACGGAACATCAA